TTTTTCCCGCACCCATGAAATTAGTTTTTGTGCTTCCAAGGTTAACTAAGATGTTTATCAACTTAGAACCAAACAGGAGACTAATCTTTCTAAACAGAATACCTTCGGCGACGCTTTTTGTATTTCAAAACTCACGTTTTTCGACAAGTTGTCCTAGTTACGAATCGCCCTATGACGAATTGGGTAACCGGACAAAAGCTCACCGAACAAAAGCTCACCGGACAGAAGCTCACCGGACAAAAGCTCACCCGTTTTTTGAAAGACCCGGACAAAAGCTCACCCCTTTTTTTGACAGACCCGGGCAAAAGCTCACCTCGATTTCTTTTTTTTTTCCTACCCGGGCGAAACACGCGCTGAAATAAAGTGCGGACGCAATGGACATTGGACCATTTTTAGGAGAACTTGTACCTCATCCACCATTGAGTTGCGATTTAAAAAAAAAAAAAAATACTTTGAAAGAGCGGGAGTTCGGCCTTCTGGAGAAGTACAAGAAAATGACCAATTAAAAAAAAAAAAATTGTGCGGGATTTTAGATAGGCTCGGGTTCCTTCCACCACAGCTTGTTCCACAAGAACTAACCACCAGGGAAAAGTCTACCGGTGACATCGGCTACCTGCTGGACTATTTTGATTGCACGTATTTCAACGGCCGCTTCCGTTATGCTTCTGTTCCATCTGCGGCGGCACCCAGAGCGAATTCTTCCCTTCGCCTGACTCTGCGCCGACGGCGACCGGAGTTTCCCCCGGTACGGTGGAATATGTACGACACCACTCTTCAAGATAAAGACCGGATGAGCAACACCTGCGAAAGATAGAGTACCGGGTTCCAGAAGCTCGTCGGCCACGCCCATCCAAGCTGATTGAATGCCTACAACAAAATCAGGCGCTCGTTGCCACGGCATTGACAAAAACCCGGAGAGGTGAGCCCACCGTAAAGTGGGTGCGAAAAATTACTCTGCAGCTGCAGAATCGTCTTAGAAATATTTGCGAGGGCTTGCATGTACATCGAGATCTACCAAGACTGCTGGAGCTAGTGGGGGACTGCATTCGCTTCTAACCAATCGATAAATAACTTGTTTCTACTAAAATCAACAAACCATGCGCCTGTCAGATTTAATTTATCGTTGCCTTTTTGTGTCGCACGCATGCACCTAAGTTGTCCGCACTCGTGTTAAGACCAGCATGAAATTTTCTCGTGGTGAGCTTTTGTCCGGGTCTGTGAAAATATGGGTGAGCTTTTGTCCGGGTCTGTGAAAAAATGGGTGAGCTTTTGTCCGGTGAGATTTTGTCCGGTGAGCTTCTGCCCGGTGAGCTTTTGTCCGGTGAGCTTTTGTCCGGGATTCGACGAATTGCCCTGTGCGACGAACGGCCCTGCTACGAGTTGCCCTATTACGAATTGTCTTTCGACGAACGGCCCCTACCCCGTATTGGCGACCTTAAATACATCTGATTCAGAAAGTGTTTTACCCTAGAAAATTTGGCAGGGACCTTTACCTTCAAGGTCCTAGAATGCATGAAATGCATTATAGGACTTTCAATTTTAAATTTCCCCACTAAATTTAGCGGGGAAAACTACATTGGTGCATAGTTCATGCGACGTCAATTGTTCTGCTAAATTTAGCGGGGAAGCTGAATTTGTCTGTGGGTCCCGTGACGTCAGCTCACGTGACATCAAATTTCCCGCTAAATTTAGGGGGGAACTGAATTCGTCTATAGGTCATGTGATATCAATTTCCACGCTAAATTTAGCGGGAAATGCACGAACGGACAGACGGACAACATTTTAAGATTTGGGGTAGGAGTAAAAAGCATTTCATGCTTTAATAACAAAATATGCAGGCGAGCTGATGAACTTTCATCGTTACAGATATACAATATTGAGGAAACAAACAAAAAAATTAAATGTGCCAGGCAGTAGAGATGCTTATGGTGCCTCAACCCGACAACCCCTCCCTCCCCCCCACACCCTGAACCCTACGTCATGGCTGGCATTTAATCGCCAGTAAATGACCGTGCGCCATACTGAACCGCAGAGCGCTTGGAGAGCCAATCACGGCAAACTGCCTAGTGAGCTCGACGAACATGACGCGGTCAAAAGTCTGTCTAGACCGAAAAGCGAATTCTGCGATGCGACACTGAGTCACGAACTTTCAACGTCCCATCATGGACCTCATTTTTAGACCTAAACATTCTGCAGATTACAGTGATTGGCTCTTCTATGGTTCCGCGGAAAAGTAGTCGCAGGCAAATTTTTTTATGAGACTACTGCCGTGTTATTAAGAACGTCTTTGTGAAAAATTAAAATCATCGCAGAAAATAATTTTGAAGAAAAAAAAAGTTATCGTGTGCATATTACTATACTTCCGTGCATATTGCTACTGAGTATCCTAACGTTGCTCGAACTTTGACACAACTTCCAAAATAATGTCAGCAGTATTTACGAGTAACTAAAACGAAGAAATTACATTCAGGATACGTTTGGAGCAACTTTATCTAAAGAACTTCCTGCACTTTACCCAACACTGGAACGAATGGATTTTGGAAAAAATCCAGAGAACACAGCTTTAAAAAAAAAAAAAAAAATGCTATTGACGTGAGAAGCGAAAGTATACAGGCGAGCAGATTAGGAAACAGTACACTAAAAAAATCTGGTCGTAAAAGAACTCTTAGGGGTTCTTCGGCTCGTCCATATTTTGCACCCTAAAAAGTTATATTCTTCTAGACTTTTTTTTTTTTTTTTTTTCAAAACGTTTTTTTTTTTTACCCAGCTGCCTTTCGAGTGCGCCAGGGGGCGATATTGCTTGAGGCGAAACCTAGCGAAACCGTATTTCACGAGCTGAGAGAGTTCTTAGTAGGGGTGTCGCGAACTTTTGTCGAACCGGATTTTTAGGTCGAACTTTCGGGGTTCGACTGAGTCGAATCGAATCGACGAACCTTCGAACTTTTCACCAAATTCGACCGGTTCGACTTTGCGGACAGTGTGGCCAGACCTTGATACAAACATGTCTAGGTTTGGAGAATTTATTTTTTATGCAAAGGGTTATTTCATTTTATGAACAGTTGCAATTAAAAGAAACCAATTCTAATAACTGAAGACGTTAATAACCTAATTTTTTTTTGTACTGTATTAACTGAAATAACCAATCAGCGGTGCCTTTAATTCATCCCTTAGCCATTACCATCCAATCCGAAGCCAACTGGCCAGCTTGTCGCGCATGCGCACTCGAGTCGAACCTCAATACAAGGTTCGTCGAAATTTCCACAAAAAGTTCGAAAAAGTCGAGCTTGGTCGAACTCGAACTTCGGCCGGTTCGCGACACCCCTAGTTCTTAGGACTTAAAATAAACCTTTCAAAAACATTTTTTTTTTATATATATATAGAGCGTATAGTTTAAATCCTGACACACGGAGAAGTCCGTCTGTCAGGATGTGCAGAGAGTATGCGGTAAATCTATACATTTTGCACTTTGTTGGCGGTTGCCTGTTTCTAAAATTCTGATAGTGTTGGGCTAGTTGGTTCTGGAATTTGGAATACATTTTCGCGCTCAAAACACAAGGTAAGAGGGGTGGGGCAGCATGTGTCAGCGTGGCAAGGAAGGTGCCTTCCTCAATGACTCGGCCTGGCATCGGGTTGGCTAGTGATGGGGTGATATCAGAAACACGGATGGTACATAAGCGACGTTTCATGTAATGAAATCAGTTGTTAGTAGCGCACTCTGGTGTCTGATTCTCGTCTTTGTGTCCTTGTGTTTTGAGCTCTAAAATGTATTCCAAGTTCTAAAATTCAAAGTTTAAGTTTTTTTTTTGTTTATTTTTTTTTGTGCGTGTGTGTGAGAGAGAGAGAGAGAGAGAGAGAGAGAGAGCTGGGCGTGGGCGAAATCGGCGAAGGTCCTTCAGCGAAGCGGTGTGGGCAGCACTTCCGAGGCGGCATGCATTGAGCGTGCCGTCTTGCGTCAGAGTCTCGTTCGGAAATAGATGGGCCGGCGGCAGGCGTCGAGCCTCGGTTGTAGTGCGTTGCGCAAGGCCTCGGAATCCGCCGGGGGAAGACACGCAGCCGGGGCGCGGTACACCGCGACACCCGATGTTACATCGATTTGCCGATATAAGCCTAAGTTTCTAGAGGAAATGCCGTCGGAGTCCGCGCCTTTGCTTACAAAGATACGGCTGATATGTGACCCGGTCCCGGACCGCATACTTTCATTACTTGACCTCGTATTTGTCGTCGCCTGTGCGACAGACTGGGACAGGATCCAAATGGAAACTTTAGTCCCCACGCTCCAACGGCGATGTTAACGTGACCTTAATCTGATCCGAAACTTTTTTTTTGGAATCGAAACCTTTTTTTGTAGTGCAACCCCCCGCGCGCCAATTCAGCACGGTCGAAACTGCACGTAGCTCTGTATTCCCGAATGTCAAATCGAGCTCGCTACGTGGATAAGCCCCGAACCTCCGTGGAGAAATGCGAGATCGGCGTTTCCTAGCATCTAACACTGAGAACCCGAAAGGTACACCCAATACACCGCTGAGACAATCGCGGCGGGGGGTTTGTTCTCGGAGGACTCCTCGCGCACGTCGTCGCCTGGAACCGCGTCGCAGGTGGGTCCCTCGCGTTTCCGCGTATTCGTTCCGTATAATCCAGCAAGTGATGCGTGCCCCGGCGTCCTTGAACAAGACAAAAAGGTCAGGAGAGGAGGCGCCCCAGAGGCGGTGGGCCCCAAAAATGGAAGGAAGGCAACGAAAGAGCAGGTGTGGCTCGCGGCCTCTCCTCTGGAGCACGCACGCGCGCTCTCAAACACAGCCACCGGAGATCGTACGTACACCTTTCACACACGAGGGTACGGGTGGCCTTATTCTCTCCCCCCTTGATGTGACGTCACGTTTTCTACCCACGTGACATACGCTTGTCCAATGGGCGGCTGCCTCGGTGACCAGCTCGGCTCCGATAGGCTCTGGGTCCCTTCGTACGATGGCGACCGAGGATTCGAGTTGTTGCCGCTCTCCGCTTATTGATGATCCTTGTTTGCAACATTTCTTGTGTGTGCAAATGTTGCGTGCTTTCGCCAAGTCTCCTCTCTCCATCCGTGACCTTCCCTAGTCCAAAAAAGGAATAAATTTCTTACGAAACAAACATCGCGGAGAGCGAGAGAGGGGGTCCGGAAAACGAAAGATTCACAAGGAGTGCATGAGCATCGCGAGGCGTTGCCGGCAGCATTTGTCAGCGGTTTCATACTGGATCCGGCTGAGCGAGCGTAGAGTCCCTTTTCCGTGCAGCGTGGAGAACGGAGCAGTTCCGCCTTCTTCGCTTTAGCGTTGTTCGAGTCGCTTTGGTCAAGTTGGCATAGAGCGGATCCCGGAGAGGCTCACCATGTCTCACATGAGAACCACCACCCGAATCAGCGTGAAGAACGAGGACTGCTGCAGCATCCCGGGGCTTCTCCGCGTCACCGAGACGGTGAGCCCGTGTTCTGCGCCTTCGGCCAGCGACAGGTGGCGTTGATGCCCCCATCTGACGACTGCCTGAGGGCTCTACAGCGTTCGCCAACGCATTGTCGCTTTCTGTGCTGCTCAGGACGCAGCGCTTGCTGTCTCCACCAGATGGACAAAACACGAAGTTCCTTCCTGTTTTGTCCATTTGCTTGGCCGTGGTTCGTGGTTCCAACTTCCATTTGAGTTGATATACCTCTGTTGATACACTACTTAATAACGCTAGCGACGGTGGTATGTAGTAAAATAAAAAGAAGAAAAGGGAGTACCAACAACATTCACGGGTGCACAATGAGCATTAGCCATGTTGCGAGTTTTCTGTGCTCCTCTTTACAGATTGGTCCACGAGCCTTGCACCTCCTCAGAACCGAGCGCCTTAAAACCTTTTAAAATCTCTTAGGACGGGAGAACACACTGACAAACTGGCGCCATCTATGTGGTTACCCTGGAACTGCATTTCACTAGAGCGAAGGTTTGGCGGTATTTGAGAGGTCAAATGCACGTACTACTTACGAGAAATGTTCGTTTATAACATAGACAAGTTTTTCAAACCAAGAAAGAAAGAATGATGCGCGAAACAAATTGAAGATATACGGGACCGCGCAGGTGTTCCACTGCTACCCGATAGGTGGTGCCAGTGTGTCTTCGTCGGTTTCAAGGCATCCTGTTCTAACAAAGAAGTCTGAGATGTGTGAACGGGCCTTTACTTTACTTGCTTCAGGCGCCCGCTCGCCCACATATACGCACGCAGGCATGTAGGCACGCGCAAACACACACACACACAAACACGCGCATGCGCGCGCAGCACACAGGCATGTAGGCACGCGCAAGCACACACACACACACACACACACACACACACACACACACACACACACACACACACACACACACACACACACACACACACACACACACAGCCGACTGCACTGAAGCCAACGAGGTACCGCCTGTGCGTCATGTGCCAACCCTGAAACTGGCGCGAAAATACTCTTGGCCGGTTGTTGGAGAGAGAGGGAGCTTGGAGAAAGTGTATGCGTGTGTGATCAGAAACTAAACTAGGTCGATGCTGAATGATTGCCATTGACTCACCATTCCAGTGTGTCCCTCTCCGTATTGTCGTCCTGTCCTCGAGTTGCTTGATAATTAAAGAGAATTCCCCAGAAGTGTTTCAAGGAGAGAGCTCTCCTTCGGCGCGGGTCATGCGGCCGTGTACCACTCAGGCTGACCTCTCTCTCTCCTGGCGCTTGACTTCCTGCCGCCTGGAGTTACGGCGGAACAAAGCGTGTGTGTGTCTCGGGGAACCCCCTGTCTGAACGTTCTTAGAGCCCCGATGCAAATGTCGGCACTACTTGCTGCCCCCATATTTGATTGAATCGTGTAGCGGCAGTTACTGGAAGCTTTTCTTGAAGTCGCGTCAAACTCTGACACTAAATCCAAACCCCTGCACAGTGAACATGCTGCATGGATTTTGGCATAGGCGTGTTGAAAATTTTATTGCATGTTCGCTAAATTGGCGTTTCGTTGTATTGATTCTTGTGAACTCTTCCCAATGCAGTGTCATAATGGCGCAACGTGTGATCGATGCGTCCTTACGACATAATAACTTGGCAAAATATCTAATCATCAAGCGCAGCGTTTTCGACAACGAATTTGGGTGTGAAGGACATACTCCCATTTTGAGACTCTGTGTTGTGTTGTCCTTCGTCTTTTACCCAGTCCTGGGGGTTTGTCTAAAATTATGTTAAACCTTCACCAGCTCGTTGGCGCCCCAACTTTTTGCTCCCATTTGCATGCTACTTTTTTTACATTTTTGCCGTGATTTTCAATGTTTTTGTCCTTCGTCGAATTTCGCCATTCCCGTTTTTACAACTTTTTACACAAAATACTTTCAGTTGTTCCTCATCTCTTCTGTTTGCGAAGACCATTTATCAAGTTGCATCTGCTCCCTTTGCAAATGCACGTTTTCAGATTAGAGTTGGCACTTCGTTTGTAGGGTCGCTTCTGCGGCATTCGATTCACCTGGGATCTGAAACAAAAATGCAGCTGTGGCGACACTCTGATAATGGTCGTTCTTTTAACCTGTTTTTTTTTTTTAACTGAAATCTTGACTTTTATTACTACCGAGTGCACTGGACAGATTGTCTACTAGCCTCTATAGTCACTGATAGTGTGATAAACGTTGGTCACGGGTAGACATGGTCATGTCAGTATTATTGCATAATCTGCGTAATTTCAGCATCCCCCGGTAAAATAAGAGAAGCAACCAACTGGAAAGCAAACAGCATGGACCACTTTTAGCCTCGCCTGCGCCTCCTTATGGGCGCGCTAAATCGAATTTTAGATTCCTGTTTTCTGTCTAAAAACAAAGCGCCCGTTCGCCCACATCGAGCGTGGGCACACGGTCCACACCAAAACCGGTTTCGCTAGGGGCTGAAGCAACAGCGCATACGCGATATGCCAGAATCATTTCAAAATGTCTAAAAGCGCAGAATCCGTCATTGTATGTTTTTTTATTTTTTTTTTATTTATTTAGATATATACATAGAGCGTCATTAGGCAATTGAGTATGGAGATGAAAGAACCTTTCCTACCGATCTCCGAGTCTGTTATATATATATATATATATATATATATATATATATATATATATATATATATATATATATATATATATATATATATATATATATATATATATATACAGGGTGTGTTTTTTAAGCTTTACAGATTTGTTTAAAAAAAAAAGGCGCGAAAGTTGCGTTTATGCGGTTTGCGCAGGTGAGGTATACGGCCAGGGGGACATTATGTGGGTGTTTAATCTTTGCGATAAGTCGACTAATTAATTAAAATTCAGTAATTAACTTTTTAATTAGTGAAAATAGACATATGGTTCTAAGTAGAAACTTGCTGAGCGTCATCGAAAACCCCTAAATCAGCTCTTTCTAGAACGACTGGAATCTCGTGGGAAACTTGGGGGCGCAACAAAGTTACCACTCGTGAAGCAGGCGCAACGCTAGCAGTGGCAAAACGCGGATGATTAGATTATCATCGCGTTCCGCCGCTGCTAGCTTTGCGCCTGCTTCACGAGTGGTAACTTCGACACGCCCCCGAGTTTCCCACCAGCTTCAAGTCGTTCTGCAAAGAGGTTCTAAGTGGTTTTCGATGACGCTCAGCAAGTTTCTAATTGGAACCATAGGTCTAGTTTCACTAATTAAAAAAAAGGTAATGAACGAATTTTAATTAATTAGCCGACCGATCACAAAGACTAGCCACCCACGTAATGTCCCCCTGGACGTAGAACTTACCTGCACAAACCGCAGAATGCAGGGGTGGCCAGGCTGACCCGGCCTGAGAGCCACAAACAAAACCACGAGAATCGGAATGGGCGCCGCCACCTCTGTCCAAAAAGTCCCGCGGAATACGCGCTGTTGTTTAAATAAATTCATGGAAGAATCGCTTTCGGAGAAAGACCAGCGTTCCAAATAGCGCGGCATCGAAACCGTCTAAAACGGTAAAAATAACATATTTTACCGCTTTAGACGGTTTGGGACGCTGCTCTTTTTTTCTTCGAAGGCGATTCTTCCATCAATTTATTTGTCTGTATTTTTATACGGTCTGTATTTGCCTACTTGCTCCACCTGAAAGAAGCCAAACCGTTGTTTAGTACGAAAATAATGACGTAGCCGAGCAGCTACAAAGCTTTACAAATAACTGTTTCCCTTCAGTGGTCTACCGGAACATGTGTTTGCTGCACGCCTTTCTTTTTATATGATGTCAAGTTGCCCAGTCCAGTCAGCTCTTCGCCGATAACCGGTAGCCGTTCCAGCTGTTATTTCTTCGCGCTGACTCACGCGGAGACCCGGACTCAGGATAAAGTAGCTTTTTTTCCTTTTTTTCTTTTTTTCCTTTCCCCGGCAGAGTTATCTCTTTCTTTCCTGCAGAGTTATCTATTTTTCTTTCCGGCTTGACAGCGCGCCTCCGTGTGTGCTCTAAGAACTCTCATCGGGGGCGGTGCGGATTCAGCTTATTTCTACGCGTTTACAGCGTGTTCTGCACTTCGTGGACCTAAGCTTAGACAGCTGTTTTCGATGCCTCCTTCAGAGAGGAGTTTTGGAGTTTGTCCTACGATAAAAGGGAAGCTGAAACAGTTTAAAAAAGAGATGAGATAGAGGTTGATTTTAGCGTTGTTTTATCCCGTGAATCTGAATATCGCGTTCATTTTCGCCGAAAATCTAACTAAACGCGAGAAAACACGAAAACCTCTGCCCAGTCGTTACTTCATAAGATGATCTTTCGGCAGCCAGGCGCGTGTCTCTCGTGTGGGCCGCCCGTACAATCGCATGCTATATTCCCCCCGTACAAGCACCAATCGTGACCTCAAAAAAAAAAAAAAAAAAAGAATTGGGTTCTGTGTATGTTTATACAGCGTAGAACTTGGTCTGCCTCAACGGGCAACGAGTCTCCCAGCTGTAGATGAGAACGCAGTAGTGATACACGACCGCACGCCGGTACGATGCTAATCCAGGTCGAAACGGGCAGGGGTGGGGAACCCAGGATCCTGAGTTTTGCAGCGCGAGCTTTCGCTTTACGTGCTCCGAGCTGGTGTGCGCTAACCCACTCGGCCACCAATCCCCCCCCCCCCCCCCCCCCCCCCCCAGTCGTGACTAAAGTTTCTAGGTAACAGTTTACTAGAAGTAGCGAACAAATCTTTGAAGCACCAACTGCGTGACGGTGCAAATTTTAGGAGCGAATGGCGGCGCAAAGCAGACGAGCAGTGGCGTAGCCAGAAAATATTTTCGGGGGGTGTTTCAAGGTGCTGGTGCACACACAATAAAAACAAGAAAGAAAAAAAAAAAATATATATATATATATATACATACATATTTAATGAAGTAAAATTTCGGGGGTGTTCTGACACCTGAACACCCCCTCCCCCGCCTACGCGCCTGCAGACGAGTGAACTGA